TTAAAAAGTGAAATTTAAGTAATAATATTGAAGTCTTTCACAAAAGTGTTTGTAATAAATAGTTCGTAATATGTAATCAAAATCGTAAGTATGTCTAAAATAATAATGTAGTAAAAGCATGATCACTATAATAAATCAACCACATATATAGCTCCACATAATACTATGTTAACACATAATATTCTATTTTATTTTTGAAAAATTTAACTTAATTGAACAAGAACAACCATTACTATTATTTTCAATATATTTTAGGAAATAGAAACATTACCAGAATTGTTGCAAGGCAAGTAACCATGAAATGGAGTTTTTGGAAAATATGTAGAAATATTGATAAAGCTTGAATTTTGCTCACTTGCTCAACTACTACGGCCGTACAGAGAGGGATAACAGTGTGAGGTTTATAACCTCAGGACAGTTAAAAAAGAAAAGAAATAGTTAGAACAATTTTAACGTCGATTGCATGGAAACATTGTGAATATATCTGGTTCCATCTTTTGAAAAGCCTCTCTTCTCTCGCATCTCGTGACTATCAATCAAACTTTCCTGGCCAGCGTCCTCTGCTTGGTAGCGTGGCGCACTACTTTCTCCTCGACGTGCAGCCCTTTCCTCCTCCTCACCGCATCGATGAGCTTCCTGGCCGTGTTCTGCGGCACGCTGGATCCATCCCCAAACTCCTCCAGCTCCTCCTCGGTCTTTGGCACGAAGAAGGGGTCCTCCGCCAGCGCCTCCCAGTGGCTCAGCATCAGCTGCGGGCTCGCGGCGCCGGACGTCTTCCTCCTCAGCTCGTCCGCGAATCCAAAGCTCTCGGCCACCGGCATGAAGGCGTGCACCGTGAACATGTCCGTCCCCTCGCGCATCTCCTCCTTGAGCACCCGAGCTCGCCTCTTGGCCAGCACGCCATACATCTGTCCCAGGTACTGCGAGGTGGTGCTCACCTCGCACAGATACATCGCTTCCACGAGCCTCGGGTACCTGTGTAGCACCGCTGCCCGGCAAGCTTCCTTCACCGCCGTGATAACTTGGCCAGAGAAGACCCCGTAGGACGTCGAAGTGCCCGGCTGGTTTTGGCTCTCCGCGCTCTCGGCCGTGCTTGCCTCGGAGATGAAAGCTTCTACCGTGAAAACCAGTCCCCATAGAGGCTCCTCGCACAGTGGCCCGGCTCCTGTAGCTAGTTGAAACCCCGCAACTATGTTGCCTTCCAGTCCATCGGCCTCGGCAGAGAGTAAACCCGAGCTCTCTGGATCAGTGCTCTGCTTGTGAGCTACAGCGAAGCCCAGTAGCTCCGACACGTATGGAGAGCCTCGTATCTCTGCTGTAGACGTGCTACCGTCGATGGATGTACCGCCTTTAGGCCGTCCTAGGCGGTCGTAGTCCGGGACGAGAAGGATGTTCGGTCCCACTCCTCGCGGGCCAAGAGCCCAGATTCGTTTCAGTTCCTTCTCAAAACTTCCGTCACCTTTCTTCTTCTCGGAATCACCGGACGCAGCTGCTAGTAGCCGTGCTTTCAGTGCTTCAACCGGATCGGCTTTGCCTTCGATGGCTGTCTGCGGCTTCTTCTTGCCGGACACCAAGTTTTTGAGCAGCTCCGAGCTCTCGTCCAGCAGCTGAGTCAGTGCGTTCGGCATCCTTGCGACGTGAACACGTATGGTGCATCGGCCGTTGGGTGTAGTCACTTCCACATAGTCGGTCTTAACCTCGGTCGCGTTCTCGTCTATGGTTTCTCGAAATGCCACTAGAGGCGGAGATACTTCCAGCTCCACGCAGGCGAACCGCTCTTTCAAATCCTTGATGCACAGCTCCAAATGAACTTCCCCAGCCGCGGAGATGACGTGCTCGCCAGTGCTGGAGAGGCTCACTTCCACGAAAGGATCGGCTCTGTTAAGTAGTCTTAAGCCTCTCGAGAGCGCAGCCATGTTCGCTGGATCCGATGATTCCACTGCCACACGGACGATTGGAGCAGCCTGGAAGTTCAAGCCAGCGAAAGGCCAACAGTTCTGAGTAGACGACAGTGTTGCCGACTTCAAGATATACTGGCCGAGTCCTCGGATGGCCACCACGTTGCCGGCAGTGGCTTTGTCACAAGGCTCCAGGCCTCGTCCCATCATACTGTAAAGCGCTTCCACTCTCGCTACCTGGAGGTTCTTTTTTTCTTGCTGCGCCTCAGTTGGATCGTAGAGAGCCGAGAGAACAAACACGTGCTGTCCCACTGATATCACTCCGCTGAAGACCCTGGCGAAAGCTAAGAAACATTCCCTGTGTGATGCATCCATGTCACCTGCATTCCAGTCTGTTTTGAAAAGATCCTCTCCGCGAGGCATCATCTCAACTGGAACCGCAAACATCTTCGAAACAAACGTCACGCATGGAGCCTCTGGTCGATCGTCACAACTCTCCACGGCCCTTCTCACGGCTTCAAGCTCAGCTTCTACGTCCTGGCTGGTATTAGAAGCAACAAGCCTTCTGGGGTACATTGTTGTTGTGCGGTATGCTTGAGCTGTGGCCGGATCTGGTAGAACTTCCAGCACCATTGACAAGATGTTGTCGTGGAGAGGAAGCCACTTGCTCATGACCGCCTGCAGAACTATCTTTGGATCCCTGTTCTGAAGCTCACGAACCGATATGGTGAGCTTCATTTTCTCCACCACCTTGTTAAGCATTTCGATCCCTTGCTTCCCTTCCATGCAGGCCTTGTAAACTTGCCATAGCGGCTCCAATATGAACTGGACGAACATCGGCTTGTGCTTCCCAGCGGCCTTCTTCCCCACGATTTTCTCCTCCTTTGGTAAGAAGTAGAAGTCACCCCACAGAGACTTCCTCAGCGACGCAAGGCTAAAACCCCGCTTTGCCCGGTATAACTCCGCGAACTGGTACGTTCTAAAAGCCCACCCATCGACGGCGCTGGAGAAGGCTACGTTTCCCTGCTGCGGAGAGAAAACATCCTTCTCGGATTCACTATCGTCGTAGTCGTCAAAAGAATCACCATCTTCTTGCTCGCGTCCGTTGGCCTTCTCCTCAGCTCCTGCAAGAATGGAATCCACATCCGATAAATACTTCTCAGATCGAAATCCACTCATTATGCTGTTCACTTCGGAGATAATTCCCTGAGAGTGGCAATGAGAACGGAAAAACAAAAAATTAACTTCCAGAAGTTAATGCAAGGATCGATGCTGCGAGGCAGTGAGGAAGGAAAAGAAAAAAAATACCTTCATTCGAGTGTAGGCCTCCAAAGGCGTCAATTTGAGCTCGGTGATGAGACGATCCATTTTGTTGAGAACCAAGCACGGCTTCACTTGTTCCATCCAGGCCTGGCGAAGAACCGCGTGTGTTTGAATGTGGACACCCTCGCAAACATCCACAAGGACCAGCGCCCCATCGCTCAGCCTCACGGCGGTGGAAACCTCGCTGCAGAAATCAATGTGGCCGGGAGAATCGATGAGATTGACGGAATGTCCCTGGAATCTAAGCGCAATCGAGGCGCTCTTCATCGTGATGGCGCGCTGCTGCTCATCGTCCCTGTAATCCAGGTACCGCAGCTTACCAGCTTGCTTGGGATGCAAGACACCGCCTCCAGCGCCGGCGATGAGATGATCCGCGAGGGTGGTCTTGCCGTGATCGACGTGCGCGAGAATGCAAATATTTCGCGTCCTCGCCGTCTCCCTCTCCATTGCCCTAGAATGCGAATGCGGTCTAGGGTTTAAGGCCCGAAATATGCTCCCGGATTCTTCTAGAGGTCTGCAGTTCGAATCCTCTCAGTGCACCTCTTCCATCGCGCATCTTTCTTTTCGTAGCACAACAACAACACGTTAGCAACATGTAAAAAGACAGTGGAGTGGATGTCTGTTGTTCCGAACATGGCGAAAAGAAATGATAGGCCTAGTTAGGCTCTCCACAGCGGGCCCACGGGAATCGAGCACCGGACCGCGCAGCACATGGAAATGGACGATATCGATCGCGCCCAGTCACCAGTGCCCCACCAACGGCATGGATCGCCCGCAACAGAATGTGAAAGGCTCAAACACTAGCCCCATTTGAGTTGTCTATTGCTGCCCGGTCGGTCGACGGGCAGCCCCTGTCGGATGACGAGCCCACTCTTTTCGGGCACGCAAGAAGAGCATAAACTTGCATATACCCAGACTTTCAAGTTTAAAAAATTGCCGCATCTTCGTCCAAGGGATGAAAGGTTGGGGGCGGCAAACTGACGTGCGAATATTCTTCGTGGGGTATACTGTCGTGATGTGGGCTCGAACCCGGAACCACACGTTTGAAACAGCCGATCTTGTTCTTTGCCTTTATTTTAATTTTTACTATCATACAAAGTCCTATCATTATCAACGTGAGGGAACTTTGGCGTAATATAGAAGTGACCTTTTGTGTAACCGCTGTCCACCCAAGCCCGGAAGTATATGTTCGTTTTCTATCAAAGGGCCTGGCGTGTTGCCTTGTCTAATCGGCGGAGGACCGGCCAACAGATTAGATTAAACTAGTATTGTTTACTCGGTGCCTTATGCTAATCATAAGAGGGGCGGATGACCACATGCGCTGTAGTATAGACTTTGAAATTGTGCATCAAAAGGAGTGGAGGCACAAGACAATGATATAAAACCTCTCAAACAAATGAGTGTGATCTCATCGGTGGGACTAAATTATCATCTGGAGCGAATTGTTAGGTCTGTCATTCAAGGCACCGCACACCCCACGCGCACACATTGTGTCTCGCCACCATCGAAAAGAAATGTTGCACATTCTTTCTCTCGTTTTTAGGGTTTTATATCCGCTCCTAACAAAGACCGGGTAGTGATTCGCGGATACATACATACGATCATCTTCTTTTAATAACGCTCTTTCATTAATCGCGGAACAATTCTTACCGACACGCGCCGGTCAATACCGACTGGGTGGCCGGCACGGGCAGGGCGGGCAGCGGGCAGGCATTACTGCCCGGCCCAACATTTGGTGTACGACAGCTCGGTCCCTGCGGTCTTGGGCCATGGCCGAAACTCGTGCCGCACCAAAAACGCGCTCCCCCTCTGGGGGGAGGAGATGTGGAGATGGGAGAGAGGGGCCTCCGCCATAGCTGGCGCTCCGGCTTAAGCAACGTGCCCTAACTTAGTGGCAGTTAAGGGTTTGCATTTCGCGAGTTTGGGTGTGGTGCGTGTGTCCGTGTCGGAGATGTGAAGCGCGAGGCGGTCTGTCGGGGCCAGTTTTTTTCCTCTTTTTTCTTTCCCCCTCTTTTCTTCTCCTGTTCTTCCCTCTTTTGGATCGATCTGAGCTGCGGCGCTGCCACATTCGCGGGCGAGAGGTGAAAGATCGGCGCAGGACCGATATTTCGATCCATCGGCAGCAGCGGCGGCGGCGGCGCCGGAGGAATTGGGAGGAAAATCACACGCATCGGCGGCCGGATGCATCAGGTTCACTCTGAAATTTCTGTCCAGATCATTCGTCCTGTGTGAGTGGAATGGAGGAATGGATGGATTGATGACCGTTTGTTGAGATGCATGCATCCGGGAAAAGCTGTGTGCGTGTTCTTGTGGCGTTATTGTTTTTGTGTGGTCCCAATCTTCTAGGTTTAGTGGTTGCTTTGCTTGGATTTCCAGTGGAAGCCCTCTCTTCTTCGTGTTAAAACTTCTCCCCCTTTTCTTCCTCGAGGCTGGTTTATCTAACTCTAGCTACCGAGTGATTCGTGCTTTGATTCCTTTGTTCTTTTTCTTTAGTTTTTAAAGGTTTTTTTTTTCTTTCCCTTCTCATGTTTTTTTGTTGTTGTTGGTCTGGTCTGCAGTAGAATCGGACGTTTTATTCCAAGATACATGGATTGAAACATTTTCCCATTGCGAGCTCACGGATGGCTCCCAGCTGGGTCATCGGTGAGGGCCCGTGAGCGAGAGCTCCAAGTAGCAAAAGAAGGAAAGTTTGGCCAGCGAGCAGCGTCACAGCTTTGTGGGTCGGACGAGATTATTCCCGAGAGGCAGCCCAACAACGGCCTCTTCCTCGTGCTCGTGTCTGATCGCTAGTGGTGCTCGCATTCATTGAAAGGGCTCTTTGTAAAGGGTCAAGTTGCGGTCTACATTCACAGCGAGCCTCTTTTTCACTTGTAAAGGTCAGTGCTCTTGCCTCTCGCTCTTGGTACGAGTCATGAGTTCTTCATACTTCTTCTTGCTTTCTTTGCTTTGGCTTGCCTGTCTTGGTGGTTTTTTTCCCCCCTTCTTTCTAAACTTCCTTCGTCTTCATGAATTAGGTGGACCTTGATGGTGTTTTTATCTCACAGATCTTCTTTTGTCTGCATTTTGGCAGAGCCGGGGCGGTGGTGGCATTCTTATGGTTTGCGTACAAACGGCCAAAATTGCTCCCCCTCTGCATGCTCCTGCCTTGCAGCGGGGACTGCCCGCTCAACACAAGTCACTAGCTGCCGCGACTGCGCTCAACATGATGAGGTCTCACATGGCTTCGTCCGACCCCAGCAACAGCGCCAACAAGGCTCACTCGGATCAGCCCAAGAAGGGACTCGACTCTCAGCTGTGGCATGCCTGTGCCGGTGGAATGGTACAGCTACCTCCAGTTGGAGCGAAGGTGATTTACTTCCCACAGGGACATGGTGAACAGGCCGCGGCAATTCCCGACTTTCCACGATCTGGGGGGACAATTCTGTGCCGGGTCATATCCGTGGACTTCTTGGCCGACGCCGAGACCGACGAGGTGTACGCAAAGATGAAGCTCCAGCCGGAAGTTGCCCCGGCTCCGCTGTTTGGTACGAGGATGGGTGACGACGAGGAGCTTGTGTCCAGCCCGACTGTTGTGGAGAAGCCGGCCTCTTTCGCGAAGACGCTCACTCAGAGCGATGCCAACAACGGTGGGGGCTTTTCTGTTCCCCGGTACTGTGCGGAGACCATCTTTCCACGCCTGGACTACTCCATCGATCCGCCAGTCCAGACTGTTCTTGCCAAGGACGTGCACGGTGAAATCTGGAAGTTCCGCCATATCTACAGGGGCACTCCTCGCCGGCACTTGCTGACAACGGGTTGGAGCACTTTTGTGAATCAGAAGAAGCTTGTTGCTGGGGATGCTATAGTTTTCCTCCGGAGCGCCAGCGGGGAACTCTGTGTCGGTGTTCGAAGGTCCATGCGCGGGCCTGGGAATGGCGACTCAGGGATTTCATGGCACTCTTCGCCTGGTCAGAGGTCACTTCCGCAGAATTCGTCACGCTGGGAAATCAAGTCGGAGAGTGGATACTCTGAGCTCCTGTCTGGAAATGGATCTGGTACTAGTGGTGCCAGTTTTGCGAGGAACCGAGCAAGGGTGACGTCAAAGTCCGTTTTGGAAGCTGCTTCACTGGCTGCTGCTGGTCAGGCGTTTGAAGTTGTGTACTATCCTCGGGCTAGCACAGCGGAGTTTTGCGTGAGGGCCAGTGTGGTGAAGGCATCTCTGGAGCATAGCTGGTACCCGGGCATGAGATTCAAGATGGCCTTCGAGACCGAAGACTCGTCACGAATCAGTTGGTTTATGGGAACCATATCTGCTGTGCAGCCCGCTGATCCCATTCGCTGGCCGTCTTCTCCATGGCGTATACTGCAGGTAAGCTTACTAGCGCTTATCCTTTCGATATACTTACGATATTACTGTTCTTTACAGGTGTCTTGGGATGAGCCGGACTTGTTGCAAGGGGTGAACCGAGTGAGTCCTTGGCAAGTCGAGCTCGTTTCAACACTGCCGATGCAGTTACCGCCATTTTCACTACCGCGGAAGAAGATCCGTCCCCTTGACCTTCAGTTTGGAGAAAGCCAAGGCGGCTTCATGGGGCTGCCAATGGCCGCACTTGCTAACAACGTCTTGGGGCAGATGAATCCATGGCAAAGTCTTTCAGAGGAAGTTCCTGCAGGCATGCAGGGAGCCAGGCAAGAGAGATTTTACGGGCTGACATTGTCGGAGTTTCAGCCTAAGCAGCGTGTAGCTGGGTTGTTTTTGGATGGAGCTTACCCGCTAGATCATTCCATGACTAGCCGTGGTGCCACCACCGACTTGAGGCTAAACAACTTCGCTACTACTACCACTACTCCGCACGACTATTTCCAGTTGCAGCAGGCAAACATCATCAACGCCACCAACACTGGTCGTTCGGCTTATGGAACTCCAGCAGCAGCAACTCAAAGCGAGTCCACCGCACCACCTTCGGTTGCACCGAAGTCCGGGACGAAACGAACTGCAACGTTTCTTCTCTTTGGGAAGTCGATTGATCCGAACTACAATCCGGAAGAGCAGCAGCTGCAGCAGCAACAGAACTCGGGTGTGAGTGGTGGATGCTCATCAGAGGGGACTTCTCACCAGTACAAGGAGAGTACCTCTCAGGCTCAACCCAGCTCGAACTCGTCTTTCGAAGACGGTCAGGCTGACAACAACATCATCAACAATAATCTCGGCAACAAAAACGCCAGCAGTGGCAACGTCACCAACAACACGACGGACATGACTCACAAGCTGTTCACCAACGTAACCAGCACAAGCTTGCGCCTGTGCCAGGGGGAGAGCCCGGACTCAGGCGTCACCAATGAATCGGGCAGCTCCAAGTGGATGAAAGAGCACTCCGGCGCGGACCCGGACGATGACGGCGTCATCCACTGCAAGATCTTCTTCGAGAAAGAAGAGGTCGGCCGGACACTGGACTTGTCTCTGTTTGGGAACTACGAGGAGCTCTACGACCGGCTGGCCTCCATGTTTACCATGGACAAGTCCAAGCTCTCCGGCCGAGTGGTCTACAGGGACCTCGAGGGATCCACTATCTACATCGGTGGCGAGCCATACGGGTACGTTTTCCTGGATTGAGCTCCTGGATCTTTCAAGTTCTTGACGTGGTTGCTTACGCAGGAACTTTGTGAAATCCGTGAGGCGGCTGACGATCCTGGCGGTGCCAAGCAGCAGCACCGAGTCGCGCTCCGCGCAGTCGTGGTGAAGCACGAAAAGTGGCTCGCAAGGAACCGGGACAAAGCGAAAGAGATGAGACGACGACGCATATCTTAATTTTGGTACTGTCGCTTCTATGTTCGTGCTTTCTTTGCTTCTCTTTCTTTGTTTTCTTCATGTTTGTTGTTCTTATGGCACGCAAGCTCCTGACCTTTCCAGCTCTCTCTCTCTCGAGTTTGGAGAAGAAGAAACTTGGAAAGGTACTTGTGGCTGTATATTAGTTTTGTTTGTTACTGCTACTAAAGTTCTACGTTTTCTATACTGTATCTTTGTGCTTTGTATTTATGAGTGCTCCAATATCGCGTACGCTGTCGGTCTATTTTGTTTGTATCGTATAGTTTTGGAATTCTTGTTCTTTGCTATTACGCAATCTCATTTTGGGACAGTTTGATGATAGCTTTGATCGTGGGAGTTGGAATTCGTTGTCTTCGAGAGATTTGGATTCAGGAGCATGGCTTCTAAATAGTTTGTAAATGGAATCTTCACATAATAACGGAGAATATGCTGTTCGTTTGTTACGTGTCACCCCTCGATCAGTTGCCCTAACTGACAACGAGCTTAGGGCGAACGATCTCACCGATCGAGGAATGCGAGAGATTTTCGGATGGAATCCAATGCGCGCACGTCGCTGCTCGCGATTGCGCTGTTCTGGTGAGTGCCAACGCGATCCTTGGCTCCTTCCCGGGAAATGTGAGCGCTAGAATGAGGACCGACAACGGCACGAAGCTGGATTACTTCTCTTCCTGGTCGCAGCACGATGTTCTTGGCACTCCTCGGCGTGGGATGAGGAGGCCGTCGCTGGGATCGTCCAAGGTAGGGCTGCCTGCGGCTCCAAAGTCTGGCGGTCTCAAGAGGAGCAACGAATTCCGGTCGCAGGCCCTCCCGACGCTCAATCTGGCCAAGATCAAGCAAAATCTGGAGCAGCAGCAGCAGCAGCAGCAGCAGGAAGAATCGGCCTCGTCGAGCCAGGATTTGGGAAAGGATGAATCGTTTGAGCCGACTGGAACGCAGTCCACTCCAGCTAGTTCTAGAGGGGATCGAAGGAATTATCTACTCAAGAGAAGCGCCAAAGAGAGCCCGCTGTTCAATGCACTTGCTGGGGACTATGGTGGCGATCACGCCACAAACAAGGGGTATCACGCCGAGACCGCGAGGTTCACGGAGAACAGAGAAAAGCTTGCGAAGTACTCGTATCCTTACTCGGTGACGCAGCTCATGTCTTCCAGCGATAGGAAGTTTAATGGGGATAGCTACGCGGTGAAGAACGGGAGTATGACGACCAGGAACTTTCAGAACAACAATGACAGGGAGCCATCCGAGTCGAGGTTGAGCGGTGGATTAAACTCGGAGGTGGACAATGCCAAAACTAAGAAGTCGGAGTCGACTTTGCAAGCTAAGAAGCTGTCGCTGCGCTTGGTGAGTTCTCTGGAGGAGGCACTGGCCAAGGTGAGCAAGCCGGATTGGGAAGCCAGAAAGCTCTCGCTGCATTTGACGAAGGATCCGTTCTCCGTCACGGCGAGGACGAACCAGGATAGCTATCCTTCCGTGGCGGCTAAGTTCCACGGGAACCTCCACTACCTCAACTTGAAAGATGAGAAACATTCTCAAGAGGATGCGGCCAAGATGAGCGATAGTTACAGGTAATTTCCTTTTCGTTTTCTAATGGCCTCATGGCTTCAAGTTTAGAAGGCATGCAGGCTTCACGAGGACTATAATTCACAGGGAAGTCATGGAGCTGTTTCAAAGGATCGGGCAGATTGCGTCAAAGTGAAGTCTTTGAAGCTGCCGGTGGACAAGCATTCAAGTGCTGTTCCTCTTGGTACGTTTTCCAGGCCGGAGATTGTTCTCTTCGAGCTGACAGAGTTACAGTGACACCGTGCAGGCTTTGGTGGCAATCCTGTTGAATGCGTTCAGACAGCCAGGCTTGCGAACGCTGTAAGTCTTTCTTCTTCCCAGACGCCTTGTTTTGAGCGTGCTCACGTTTTCCGTCGCTTCGCTGTTTCAGATATCTTCCGAGCAAAATCCAAGACTAGCCGTTGCAGATAGGAGCCGCAGAACCTTAAGTAGCTATCAGAGAAGAAAGGTAAGCCAAAACTGGATTTTCCTTTTCCGGGACGATGCTAAAAGATAAGCTTCTGATCCGACTCTACCATATGTTCTGCCAGAAGACAGATGCTCCAACTTTCCCGTCTCTTCCACCTGGTGTACTTGCAACACCAGAAAGTGAGTGAAAGCTTTATATCTTTGACACGATACTCACGTCGGCGATCACGACAGTTGTGCTGAAGCAATGCTCTAGTCATATGAGCGAGTATGAGCACCAAGAGATTCTTCCGTACCAAGAAGTCTTTTTTATCGGGGCCAACTCACACAAAATACAAACGTCGAGCACGCCTGGCAATTGTAACTACGGTGAGTGTTATTGCAGATAGTTTTACACTTCTGATCTGATCATGTCCTGCAATTCTAGGATATGACGATGACAGAGGAGATTACCTTATTGTTGAACGCGATCATCTAGCTTATCGGTATGAAATAGTGGGTATTTTGGGGAAGGGTAGCTTTGGTCAAGTGTTGAAGTGCATTGATCACAAGCTCAAATCACTGAGAGCCGTGAAAGTCATTCGCAACAAGAAAAGGTTTCATCAGCAAGCGTTGATTGAAGTCAAGATTCTGGAGCACCTCCGCGACAAGGTACTTGGAAAACCTGCTTCCATTTTGAAACTAATTCTTTATTGCACAGGCTGGAACTTAATTTCATATTCATCACAAGGAAAAGTACTGTCTGAAATGTAATTGTTTATGAAAGGTCTTTGCAGGCTACAGAAGAATCTGCCAACTATAACATCGTAACCATCCATGAGAGCTTCTACTTTCGAGGTCATTTGTGCATCACCTTCGAGCTTCACGATATCAGCTTGTACGACTTGATCAAGAAGAACAACTTCCAGGGGATAAGCATGGCGGTGATCAGGGACATTGCCATCCAGGTTCTACAGGCACTCAAGTTCTTGCGGAAGCTGCACGTTATCCATTGTGACTTGAAGCCCGAGAACATTCTCCTACACCATCCTTCGTCCTCAAAGATCAAAGTGATCGACTTTGGATCCAGTTGCTTCGAACATGAGAAGAGTAAGATCCTTTTAAGATTTCCGGTGGAATCTCATCCAACCCAAACCTTCGCTTGCAGTTTATACATACATCCAGAGCCGTTTCTATCGGTCCCCAGAAGTCATCCTCGGTACGTTCTCAAGAAAAGAAATTCCCCAATAATTTGATTCCACCGCGATGGAAATGTTATGCAGGCCTACCTTACGATGTCATGATTGACGTTTGGAGCTTTGGTTGCATCCTAGCTGAACTATGCTCTGGTGAGTCGCACCATACATCCGTGTTCAAGTGTCTGATATTGATTGATCCGCTGTTCGCAGGATGTCCATTATTTCCGGGAGAAAACGAAGTGGAGCAGCTAGCTTGTATGATGGAGATTCTTGGGACACCACCAGACTTTTTATTGGAGAATGCGACGCGAAAAAAAATGTTTTTCGGTAAGCTCACGCAACTTTCGTCAGACAAGTTTGGTAATCAACTTCAACACCAGATAGCAGCAATCACCCGAGGATAGTTCCCAACTCTTGGGGAAAGAAGTACTGGCCTGGAACCAAGAACCTCTCGACGGCACTTCGGTGCAACAACCCACTCTTTATCAACTTTTTGGAATGCTGCCTGCGTTGGGATAGAAACCAGCGAATGACTCCGGACGATCTCCTACAACACGCATGGATTCTTGAGGTAGAGTGTCGTGCTTTTCTCTAGCATCCGTCTCTAACAGTGAGAAGAATCTCTAGGTACCAACGTCCGCAAACAGGCTTCCTTTACAGCCTTCCAATCAGGACACGAGTAAGAGAAGGTACGCAGGGATTCTAGTCGTGAGATTTTTACACTCCCGAATCGATCTTTCCCTTTTCTCTACTTCTTCCTTGTAGATCGATGAAGAGCTCCGAAACTCCTCACAGATCTTTCAAGCAATCCAAGCAAAACTCCACCAGTGTCGTCAAGAGCCACCTAAAGCTTAGCAATTTGGGGAAGTGCGCCGACGTTCCCAACGTATTGCCGCCCATAGGAGAGGCGCTCACCTTTAGGACTCTACAAGAGAGGAAGAAGGCCGTGTAAAAGTCACAAAATTTTAAATCGCGAGGATATTCGGTTTTTTTAATTTGGCGGTCTTTTTAAACTGTGAGGATATTCGGAATTTTGGCGGGCGAGTAGCGCACCTAGGTTTAGGGCTCTGCGGATGGCCTCCGCGCTGGAGGAATGCGTGGGGCTGATCAAGGCGTGCCGGAGCGCGGCCGAGCTGAGAATCATCCATCCCCGGGTGATCTCTGTGGCGGAATCGCTGCGATCATCTAGCGTCTACCTCTGCAATCTTTTGGTCGAGAAATATGGGAGCTGCGGATGCCTGGAGGAGGCCAAGGCGGTGTTCTTCGCAACCCCAGGCAAGAACGATTTCTCCTGGCGTCTCGTGATCCTGGCATGCATCCGCAACAGATCCCTGGCCGACGCCGCGCGATTCTTCGAGCAGATGCCGGAGCCGGATGTGGTGGCGTGCACGGCCATGATCGGCGCCTTCTCCGAGAGCGGCAATCTTCCCCAGGCCAAGGCGGCGTTTGACAGGATGCCAAGCCCCAATTCCATCTCCTGGAATGCGATGTGCAGCGCCTTCGCCAAGCACGGCCTTCTCGATTCCGCCAAGGCCATCTTCGACAGGATGCCGGATCCGGATATCATCTCCTGGAACGCCATGATCGCGGCATTTGCCCAAAGCGGCGATCTCTCTCGTGCCAAGAACGTGTTCTACGCAATGCCGATGCACAATCTCGTCACCTGGAACGCGATGCTGGGGATTTTCGCGCAAAATGGGCTGCTCGAGGATGCCCAGAGGGTGTTCTCCTGGATGCCAGAGCGGGACGTTGTCTCGTGGACGACGCTCTTGGGGGCATTCTCCGAGGCTGGAAGCTTGGAAGACGCGGTGTTCTTGTTCGATCGAATGCCCTTCCAGGACGTCGTCTCGTGGACGACGATGCTGGGGGCCTATGCAGCGGCGGGATTGATCGAGAAAGCCAGGAGCTTGTTCGATGCTATGCCCGTCCAGGACATCGCTGCCAGGAACGCAATGCTCCTGGGCTATGCCCAGAATGGTTTGGTGGAGCAAGCACAGGAGATCTTCGACCAGATGCCGTGGAGGAACCTCGTCTCGTGGAACACTCTTCTCGGCTGCTACGCCCAGAACGGGCATCTGGAGAAGACCAAGGAGGTGTTCGACAGGATGGAAGCCAGGAACTTGATATCGTGGAACTCGATGCTGAGAGCGTTCGCAGAGCAGGGACTCTTGGAACAGGCCAGGGAGATCTTCGACGCGATGCCCTCGCAGAACTTGGTGTCATGGAACACGATGCTGCTCGCCTTTGGCCAGAACGGGCAACCGGAGGAAGCAAAAGCTCTCTTTGATCGGATAGGAGTGAGGGACGTCGTGTCCTGGACTGCAATGCTCGCGGCGCTGGCGTCGACTGGGAGTCTGGAGGAGTGCCGGAGCTTGTTCTTCGTGATGCCTCTCCGGGACGAGATCTCCTGGACGACCATGCTGGGAGTGCTCGCTCACAACGGGCATATGGACGAAGCGAGCTCTCTCTTCGCCGAGATGCCGCTCCAGGACGACGTCTCATGGACCGCTCTTCTCGTGGCATTCGCTCGCAACGGGCACGTCGATCGAGCTCTCGAGATCTTCCGAGCGATGCAAGTGGAAGGCATGACACTGGACAAGATCTGCTTCATATGCATCCTCCTGGGATTCAGCCACGCCGGAAGCTTGGAGAAAGCCTACGCTTGCTTCGAATCCATGGTGGTAGATCACGGCGTGAAACCCAGCAAGGATCACTTCAGCTGCATGATCGACATACTTGGCCGAGTCGGGAAGCTCGGAGACGCGGAAGAACTGGTTGGGAGTATGCCGTTCGTGCCGGATGCTACAGCGTTCCTCGCGTCGTGTGGGATTCACAGCGACTTGGCGAGGGCTCCTGGTGCTGTCCAGGAACTTTTCCGTGGAAGTCCCACGAACACTGCTGGATACGTGTTGCTGGCCAACATGTATACGAAGTAAGTCACAGCGGGGGTCTAGGGTTCTACATTTTCGACAATGGCGAGTCGCTTCCCTGTCTCGACGGCACAGTTCTCTTCCACTGTCCAGGTAAATCTCTCGCTGCCCAGCTTGGTTTTTTTCCAGTTCTTTCTTCTACTGAGAGTCTTTGTGCTTGACAGGGTTGCGAGACGCATTTCGTGCTAAGTGGCTATGACGACCATATCATGGTAAGCTCGACCATTAAACTTTGGCTCTGGAGAAAAGAAAGATATAAACCTTCTTGCTCAGGTCCTTGCGACGCAAATTGGAAGAATGGGCACGATCTTACAAGCCAGGTACGTGTTCCTCTCTGGCCGTGCCTTATATTCTAGGATTCAATTACTGATGCTTCTACAGCGTCCGACATGCTTTCTGGATCTTTCAGTGCACGCAGTCTGATATTCTCATATTTCCACGCAGGAAGGAGGAAGGCGAATGCGGGGAGCTCTCTTACAGCGTGAACGTTCTCATGGGCCGGCGAGATGAGGTACAGAAGCTCATAATTCTTTCTAGAACTCAGCTTCTGCATTGCTTGCAGCCTCTACTGGTTGCATGTGCTCGACAGCTTATAGAGCTCATAAGGTACATAACGATCTCCATAGTTCCCTGTGCAGTCTGTGTTAATGCTAGCAATCTTAATCCTCTTGGCAGCAACTCTGGCTCTTCGCGGTCATTGGTTTTGTCTCTTGGATTGAAAGATCACTCCCAGGTACATCTATGCTCTACTACTTCTTGGACACTGGTATTTATTTCATTCTGTGCAGGAAACGTTAAAAGAGATCATCAGGCTCGTCATTGCAAACAAAGTTTGGTAGCGTGGCAACGCTAAGCTAATGGCCTTATACTTACAAGTTACAGTGGCCTGGCCTAGCTGCGATGCGCACGGTGTATCCTTATCTTTACGTCGTATTCCACTGACTGAAAGCTACTTTGGCAGCTCTCTTGGATCTCTACTAGCCTGGCTTGCACGAATTTAAGATAGAAACCCTCGCAGAGTGAGGAGAGCTACCAGCACCACCGACTTGAGCCATCCATCCGTGTTGCTTTTTCCAGTGCATCTTTTGTTTTCACGAGTCTTTTCGCTCCTCTCTTTCTGATTTTTTTTTCTTTTTTTTTTTTGCGCCCTCTTTTGTGTCAGAAAGATCTTCGATTCCGTGGCTATACAAGCTATTAACGCAGCTGTCAAGTAAGTAGCACTTTCTATCTTTTCTCTTTGTTCTAAGCTCACTGCCTTCTCATGAGTGAGTGACGACGGAGAGGAGTTTCACTCCCAGCGGACTACTTGGCGGATTCGGTAAAGGCCGAGGCAGTAAGTAGCTCGCGCTTGATTGGTCGAATCTTCGCCGCAGGACAGCGCTAACTTACAACGAGACAGAGATGAGTTCCATCGCATGCTTGTGTCGCGTTTGCTGTCATCCTTGTGGTCTGACACTCTTCTACCGCGCAGGCAATTCATCTTTTGGGTGGAGCGAGCGAGCTACGAAACAACGAAAAAGCTATGAGCTTGAGATGCCATGCCAGCCATCCGGATGCCGTTGCGGGCGAATCCTCGCAAATATGGGACAAGATAAAACCATCCGAAGGTGGTGGGGAATGCGACAGCTACCTCACCGCGAATGATTCATGCATTTCATCTCCAACATTAAAGAAATGGAGGGGCCTCTCTCTCGGCGCTCGCTGCCAAGTCGTTTCGTCCATTTCCGAAGAATGACAAAGTACCAAGAGAAACAATAAACAAATGGTGGCGATGCAAACAACACTGCTTCTGCTGCTGCTGCTGCTGTGAGCTGCTGTGACTATTCATCGCTAACAAAAGATAGAAAACAGGAAGTAAGTGCTGGCCCGATTTAAGTTGTCTAACACAGGCAGGACCACCGGCACTAAGCCGTTGTTTTCAGGTGTGATCGATCAACAAAGTAAAGTCAATTATCGATTCGAGACAAAGACATTGATTGTGTTGTACTCAGGCGCTTTGGTGATTTCGGGGAGTGTTCAAAGGTATGGTTTCTTTGTTTTTCTTTCTTATTTCAACGCACACTCTCTCACTCTGCTCCCATTCTTTGCTCTCGATTTCAGCGAAAGGCAGTAGAGAGGTGCGATGATAATGGCCAGCAGTGGTGTGATGAGCCTGAACAGCTCGCCAGCTAGCCAGCCACATCGCTCTCCTTTTCTCGTCGAAGTTTGCGATCTGATCTGTGCGCTGCGCTCCTGTGTATCGATCAGCCAAAACAAAGCCCAATCCAAAGCGACGGTGGGCTCTATTCGGAGTGAAAGCTCAAAACAAACGGGAAGCAGGGACCGAATGGAATATCTTAACGGAGATCATGCCAAGATTTCTGGAGCTCTCATTCCTCCATCGCAAACACCAAAGGGAAGCATAAAACGAGTTTTCTATAAGCCAAGAAGAAGATCATCGTTACATGGTATACGGAACCTCTCAATTTTCTAGAATAAATGGCGAGATCAAGCCAATTGTTTTGTAATACGATTAAACTACGCTGGCCTGCGATTCTTTTTGTTTGTCCTCGTGCGCTCGTGTGGGATCATACGGGATTAACGAGGCAATGGCTTTACATTTGTTTAACCCATAGTCTCACTTCCCAGGTTGACTGTGTGGTGATTAGTACAAATAATTGTTTAGATTTTATTCGAATGACTTGTCATGGCATCTGGGAGATTGTGCTGTGAAGAGAGAGAAGAGGCTTTACAAGACTTGATTTCCAATTAGAAATCTGAAGTTCTTGAGTGGATCAGCAAATGTTCATATCTGAAATATTGAGTTCTTGAGTTGATCAAGAAGTGTTTTTTCAGACACTTGGATTCCAGATTACAGAAACAAGTAATCCAAATTTTTAAAATTGAAAAGAACTGAGCCTAGCAACTTGCTGGCCCAAGGCTACCAAACAAAGTAATAGTTTTATTTGGAAAGGAAGAACATAGTATAGAATGGAAGAAGTAGTGTAGCAGCAGCATGAGCTAGGTAGCCTAAAGAGAATTTTTGGCTCATGATCCACAAGAACAGGATAGGCAGGCATAATAGATAGATTAAACTTCTGCTCCCAGCAAAGTTGGAATAGCCTTCTCAAAATCTCTTGAAATGCAGCTGCTGGAAGATCCACCAAGTTGAGTGCAAGAATAAATCCTCACAACATCACCTCACAGATGTTCATAGATTCTAAGGAAATCTCTTCCAAAAGTTCCCTAGTGATCTATGAAATCAAGGAGAAGAGCATGAGCTATAGCTAGCAGCTTATAGCTAGAGAAGAGATCTTCCACTCCAAGAATTTCTAGCAAGTGATCTTAGAGCAAGGAAACAACATCATAGCTATGGAGAAGAAGAAGAAGAAGAATGACATCCCAGGCAATGTGCTCTTGGCGATGGCATTCTCGATCCTCCTCCTGGCAGCGCGCGCGGACGATCCAACCGACGAGGCCTCCATCCTCAAGTCCCTGGCGGAATCCATGGACCCGGCCAAGCTCCTCCAAGACTGGTGGTCGGATCCCTCTAGCGGCGCCGCCGCCAGCCACTGCCAATGGAGCGGCGTCACTTGCTCCACCGCCGCCGGCCCCGTGACCTCGCTCGATCTCCACTCCAAGAACCTCTCCGGATCGCTCTCCTCCCACCTCGGCCGCCTCTCCTCCCTCTCCTTCCTCAATCTCTCGGACAACGCCCTCTCGGGTCCCTTGCCCCCCGCCATCGCCGAGCTCTCCAATCTCACCGTGCTGGACATCGCCGTCAATCTCTTCTCGGGCGAGCTCCCGCCAGGGCTTGGATCGCTGCCGCGCCTGCGATTCCTCCGCGCCTACAACAACAATTTCTCGGGCGCGATCCCCCCGGATCTCGGCGGCGCGAGCGCGCTGGAGCACCTGGATCTCGGCGGGAGCTACTTCGATGGCGCGATCCCTAGCGAGCTCACGGCCTTGCAATCCCTGCGATTGCTCCGCCTCTCGGGCAATGTCCTCACGGGCGAGATCCCGGCCTCCATCGGCAAGCTCTCGGCGCTCCAGGTACTCCAGCTGAGCTACAATCCCTTCCTCTCGGGCAGGATCCCGGACTCCATCGGCGATCTTGGCGAGCTCCGCTACCTCAGCCTGGAACGATGCAATCTCTCCGGCGCGATCCCTCCCAGCATCGGCAATCTCTCGCGTTGCAACACGACCTTCCTCTTCCAGAACAGGCTCTCGGGACCTTTGCCCTCCTCCATGGGCGCCATGGGCGAGCTCATGTCCCTGGATCTTAGCAACAACAGCCTCTCCGGGCCAATCCCCGATTCCTTCGCGGCGCTCCACCGCCTCACGCTGCTCAACCTCATGATCAACGATCTCTCCGGCCCACTGCCGCGATTCATCGGCGAGCTCCCCAGCCTCCAGGTGCTCAAGATCTTCACGAACTCTTTCACGGGATCGCTGCCGCCGGGGCTGGGATCCTCGCCAGGCCTCGTCTGGATCGATGCTTCCTCCAATCGCCTCTCCGGCCCCATCCCCGACTGGATCTGCCGCGGCGGATCGCTCGTCAAGCTCGAGTTCTTCGCGAATCGCCTCACGGGCTCCATCCCGGATCTCTCCAATTGCTCGCAGCTCGTGCGCGTCCGGCTCCACGAGAACCGCCTCTCCGGCCCCGTGCCGCGCGAGTTTGGATCCATGCGCGGCCTCAACAAGCTCGAGCTCGCGGACAATCTCCTCTCGGGTGAGATCCCAGACGCCCTCGCCGACGCGCCGCAGCTCTCCTCGATCGACCTCTCGGGTAACCGGCTCTCGGGCGGTATACCGCCGCGGCTCTTCACAGTACCGCAGCTCCAGGAGCTCTTCCTCGCCGGCAACGGGCTGTCCGGCGTCATACCGCGCGGTATCGGCGAGGCCATGAGCTTGCAGAAGCTCGATCTCTCGGACAACGCCCTATCCGGGACGATCCCGGAGGAGATCGCGGGTTGCAAGAGGATGATTGCGGTGGACCTAAGCGGTAACCGGCTGTCAGGGGAGATACCGCGTGCCATAGCAGAGCTTCCAGTGCTGGCTACGGTGGATCTCTCGCGGAATCAGCTAACGGGCGCGATCCCTCGCGTGCTCGAGGAATCGGACACTCTGGAGAGCTTCAATGTGTCCCAGAACGAGCTCTCAGGCCAGATGCCCACGCTGGGCATCTTCCGGACGGAGAACCCGAGCTCCTTCTCGGGCAACCCGGGGCTGTGCGGCGGTATACTGTCCGAGAAACGGCCATGTACTGCCGGCGGCTCGGACTTCTTCTCGGACTCCGCCGCCCCGGGGCCGGACAGCCGGCTCAACGGGAAGACGCTGGGCTGGATCATCGCGCTGGTGGTGGCGACGAGCGTGGGCGTCTTGGCGATCTCCTGGCGGTGGATCTGCGGCACCATCGCCACGATCAAGCAGCAGCAGCAGCAGAAGCAAGGAGGCGATCACGACCTCCATCTCAATCTCTTGGAGTGGAAGCTCACGGCGTTCCAACGGCTGGGCTACACTTCCTTCGACGTGCTCGAGTGCCTCACGGACAGCAACGTCGTCGGCAAGGGCGCCGCCGGGACCGTGTACAAGGCCGAGATGAAGAACGGCGAGGTCCTGGCGGTAAAGAAGCTCAACACGAGCGCGAGGAAGGATACCGCCGGCCACGTACAGCGCGGCTTCCTGGCCGAGGTGAACCTCCTGGGCGGCATCCGGCACCGCAACATCGTCCGGCTGCTCGGCTACTGCTCCAACGGGGACACGAGCCTCCTCATCTACGAGTACATGCCCAATGGGAGCCTGAGTGACGCGCTGCATGGGAAGGCCGGGAGCGTGCTGGCGGACTGGGTCGCGCGGTACAAGGTGGCGGTGGGCATCGCACAGGGGCTGTGCTACCTCCACCATGACTGCTTCCCGCAGATCGTCCACCGGGACGTGAAGTCGAGTAACATCTTGCTCGATGCAGATATGGAGGCTCGGGTGGCGGACTTTGGGGTAGCCAAGCTTGTCGAGTGTAGCGATCAGCCCATGTCCGTCGTTGCCGGATCGTATGGCTACATTCCTCCAGGTAAGGAGAAATGCTTCGTTTTCTTGCTATGCCCTCTTTGGGTATATGGATTGCTATGATTGTTTGCTAGCGGGACATTGTTTTGTTTGTGACGTTTCCAGATTCATGCGTTGGATACATGTAAAAGATGTTTGTGTTGTTGAAATATTTTCTGGTTGTAAAGATGTTTGCTCCTGTTGAATGTTTTACTGGAGAACTGCTATGTTTGCAGCAAATGCCTAAACAAGGCATTGTTTTCTGAAATCTAACCTTTGGTTCTCTCCTTTTCTAGAGTATGCGTACACGATGCGAGTGGACGAGAGGGGCGACGTCTACAGCTTCGGCGTGGTTCTCCTCGAGCTCCTCACGGGCAAGCGTCCCGTGGAGCCCGAGTTTGGAGACAACGTCAACATTGTCGAGTGGGTTCGTCACAAGATCCTCCAGTGCAACACCACCAGCAACAATCCGGCTAGTCACAAGGTCTCGAACAGCGTCTTGGACCCGAGCATCGCGGCCCCGGGGTCATCGGTGGAGGAAGAGATGGTTTTGGTGCTTCGGATTGCGCTGCTGTGCACGAGCAAACTCCCCCGCGAGAGACCCTCCATGCGCGACGTGGTGACAATGCTGTCCGAGGCGATGCCCCGCAGGAAGGAGACCTCGTGCTGCCAGCAACAACAACAACAACAACAACACTCCTCGATTTGCAATTCGCCCGAGTGATCCTCTCGCTCATTTAAGATCGTGGTGGAACGATCGTGCAGGGAGCGATCACTATTTAAGAACGCGGTGGAGACAGAGGATTCAGCAAAGGAAAGTCGATCCACATGGAGAACGACCGAGAAAAGGACATGGACCTCATGCCAGCTTGTTCTCTCTTCATTGTCGATCGTGGCAGTGGAGCTCTATTGATTGATCATATGATTCATGTCCATTGACAGAGACGTATCATCCTTCTCCACTACTGAGAATCTATTCATTGTTTTTTAGAATACATATAAAAAATATTATTTTATATTTGTGAATAAAATACCATTTTAAAATTGGGTTAATAATTTTAAATATATTTTAAGTGTTAATACGATTGCAATCATTTAAGCTTTTCAAACTAAAAATTAAATATATTAATTTTTTTGGGGAAATTACTATCAAATGAAAATGAATTTATGAATACTTAGGATAAAAAAAGCTGATAGTCTTACCATTTATTAGACTAAAACACTTTTAGCCAATAGAGCAGCAAAAACTAAACTAAGTTATAAGGTTTTTTATAAATTAGAAACTTTATTTTCATTATTAATATTAATTTTAAATATGTCATCCTATAAGTTAATTAACTATTAATGTAGTTTTGTTATTATTTAAATAAATATTATAGATTTTATTTTATATTATGTTAAAAATTATTAAGATAATATTATTATACATCCGAGATGGAGTCTTAAAAAGAGTCTAAGATGGAGTATAAAAAAAAGTTTGAGATAGAGTCCAAGAAAGAGTTTCAGATGAAGTTTA